AGAGAGAGAGAGAGAGAGAGAGAGAGAGAGAGAGAGAGAGAGAGAGAGAGAGAGAGAGAGAGAGAGAGAGAGAGAGAGCATCTTCCAGTGCTTGGAGCTCATGCCTTACTATAGCTCCATGGAGTTGGAGGGTCATGGGTGAGGTAGGTCCATCAGGGAGGAAGGTTACCGGAAACTCACCTGGAAGGAGCAATTATCGCTGAGCCAAGCTGCTAGCGACCCATTTGCTAGACAAAGAGATGGATTTAATGGCACTCCTTGCAGTCCATGAAGCACCAATCGCAGCTGCTGCTCCGCCTGATACAGGCTTTCCTTGTGAAGTCCTTCCAAAGGTGCCACCTGCAGGAGGAAGATGGATGAAAACGATTCAAAAACAACATCCAAATTTCAGAGAGGACGCTGATCGTCTTACACTACTGCAATGAACCGCACAGATCAGTGTCTGAGATTCCAGCAGTTTCTGCGAAAATGTTGTTCTTTTGGTCCGTTTTCTGAGAATTTCAAGTCTGCGCCTGTTCTGCTGTCATATGCTGTCATCTCTAAGTGTGCGCGTGACCTACTACTAACGTGCATGTGCCATATGCTTGCCTGGGTCTGAGTCTGCGTCTGTGTGCTCTATGCGTGCATGGCTGTGCATCAGACAGGGACAAGCTAAGACGTGGAGAGATGGCCAGGGGCAGGTCGGAAATTTGCAGCAGGATATCCTGAGGGGTTAGCCTAGCGCCCAGGGACAAAAGTTGAACTGGCCAGGGACATGGTAGGATTTTCCAGCAACTTGGGTATGCCCTGTGGCTCGGTAGGCTTAGTGGGGAGTCCAGTAGCAGCCAAAAGAGTCACGAGTGTTCAGGCCCATGCCCAGTAGGGCACTAGGCTAGATGCTGTCATGTGCTGTCATCTCTAAGTGTGCGCGTCACATGCTGTCATCTCTAAGTGTGCGCGTGACCTACTACTAACGTGCATGTGCCATATGCTTGCCTGGGTCCGAGTCTGCGTCTGTGTGCTCTATGCGTGCATGGCTGTGCGTCAGACAGGGACAAGCTAGGGCTTGGAGAGATGGCCAGGGGCAGGTCGGAAATTTGCAGCAGGATATCCTGAGGGGTTAGCCTGGCGCCCAGAGACAAAAGTAGAACTGGCCAGGGACCTGGTAGGATTTTCCAGCAACTTGGGTATGCCCTGTCGCTCGGTAGGCTTAGTGGGGAGTCCAGTAGCGGCCAAAAGAGTCACGAGTGTTCAGGCCCATGCCCAGTAGGGCACTAGGCTAGATGCAGGCCCTGAGGCCGAGTTGCAGGCTGAAATGATGTTCCTGCCAAAAGCAGAAACACCCGGTAGGCCTGGTGCACCCTAGGGAGGCCGGGCAGTGCTGGGTAGTGCCCGGCCAGGAGGTACTGGAGGCTGGAAAGCCAAACTATATGAGCCGGTGTACTGAGGATGGCAGGACACTTCAGTTCATTCTTCAAGTGGGCATTATGCTGCTCCACCCGGGGGGTGTTGGAGGGTGATGGCGAAGCCCTCCATGGCTATGGAGTAGTAGTCAGGAGGTGGTGGAGACAGGCCAAAGCTATGGTGGTGAGGGTGATGGACCTCTAGCTGGCTATGGTGGATCATTAGAGGTAGGAGGAAGAAGGAGGAGGTCAACCCGGAAGGAGACTCACCTTGGCTGTGGTGGACTTTCATCTCCACTTCATTGATTGGCGCTGCATCTAGAAGGCCCCTATGTGGCTACCAGCTGTGCTGAGACTTCGTCCGAGAGTATGGCTATGGTGGGTAGAGATGGGAGAGACATAGTAGGGGTGGTTTTGTCCTTTCAACATAGATAATGCACGTGGATGTTCCACGATAGCTAGGGATGCAACCAAGTGAGGAGTCAGGTTATAGCTGCAAGGAGCGTTCTTTGTGTGCTAGTAGCGCTGGGGGTTAACCAGACATCGATTCTGGCCCTTACACATTGAAAGCCAGAAAGTCCAACGCTGTCCAGAAAGCAGAAACAAACTGATATTCCACCAACGGAGAACCAAAGCACCGAATCCGAATGTTAATGAGAGCATACTCTTGCCACCACCAACATATGTATCTAGAGCCCTTCCTCCTACTTGGCACCCAGCGCCCAGACTACGATCACACAGCTACTAGCAGCCTACGAATTGGCAATGCATCCTGTTGACATCAGCAGCAACAACTGAAGTACATGAAGATGTCAATCTTGTAGACCATCGCCAAGACCAGGTTCGTGCCCTCACATCATTATCCTCATCTCTCTCTCTCCCTCCTCGTCTTCTCTACCCACGTCTTCCTCCACACACACGGAGACCACCACCACCTCCCGCTGACTGTCCAAGCCGAGCCCGGCTATGGCGCTGCCCTCAGCAGCGCCCTGCCTCTCTTCGACGCCCGCGTGCGCCTGCCTTGCACCTAGCGTTAGTGCACAGTGCACAGCCTGCAAGTGTACGCTCGAGCAGCCCTGCCGCATGCACTACGTAGTGCCCGACTACCCCGCCCGGTGCCCAGCCCTTTCTTATATGGAAAGTGGCGTGCACATTCCCCACTTGCTTCCCCATGAGACCGAGTTCCAGTAGCTTCAGTGTCGGGCAAAGTGTCTGCGCCCAGGCCCGTTCAGAGAGTGGCCTGGAACCGAGTTGGTTAGGCATGCCCAACCACCCAGGCACAAACGTGCGGTGTTCCCTGCTTTGTGCTTGCTGGAAGAGCCTTGAAGGCTCACAGATATTTCCTATTCTCACGAGCAGAGCGGATGTAAACAACTAGCGCGTGGCAACTGTCTGGCGCCCCAAGATTTGCAAAAAATGACGAGTTCAGGGCACATTGAGATTCAGGGGGGGGGCGCCTTCACTTAGGGCGGGCACACGGCTGCTGCAGGGCCTTATGCCGAGGGGTGAACTCTCGCACATGGTTTCAACTTTTTAAAAATCTTTTGGCTCACTAGTACCATTTATAGAGCTACGTATAGAGTAAAAACTTAAAACTGTGAAAGGAAGGAAAGAGAACTAGTCCCATCCCCTGTCATCCTTGTGTAGGGCCCATACTAAACTTCTTTGCATCATTCCAACATTGTCGTCGAGTTAAGGTCTCGAAAGGAAGGAAAGAGAATCCATTCCGTTCCCTACACCCACGGTACACAAACACCAATAAGTATTACCTAACAAGTAAAAGCACCCAACAGTTGGACCATTTCTCAGTATGTGTGTGGCATCCTTGTATGGAGGCCATGGCAATCTTCTTTGTATCATTCCAGTTTTACTGCCCATGTAGAAGACTTTGCTTACATGGTGAACTTAGTCAGGGGCGTTCAGCCTGGAATAAAAGTTCATTTTTCTGAAGGAAAAAAAACTCAATACTAAGTCAATAAGCTAAAACCGTGAAAGGAGAAAGAGAATTAATTACCTCCCCTGTGCCCACAGCACCCCCTTCCAATACGATTCGGATGAGGAATCCCTCACGGACATGAGTAGTAGCTTCCTTTGATGCAGCAGATCCGCCCACAGTTGTCGGTGGCTGACGCAGAGGCATCCTGCAAAACATGCTCAAATGAGAGATCGTTAACGGGGGCTCAAATATTTGCCGTTTTTGCCGGCAATTTCAGTGCGAAATTCATCGAAATTTTCAAAAACAAACAGTACGGGCCTATAGTGCAAACATCAAAAAAAGAAACAGGCCAAARAAAACGAAAAAAAAAAAAAAAACACTATAAAACCCTAACACAAAAAGTTAAAAACACTGTCGGAGTTAAAATGACTCTAAAATGAGCATGTCAAAACTGGACACCTGATGTACCCACACAATAAAAAAAAGTTAAAAAAAACTAAAAAAACCAAAAAATCAGCAGAATATGACAGTTTCAGTGCAAAATTCGCTGAAAATAAAACCCCTGGTTAACCACATGTGATGACACTTAGAGGAAGAAAGAGAGCTGGAAATCGCATCTAGCTTTGCTTCATAGTGCAAACATCAAAAAAAGAAACAGGCCAAAAAAAACAAAAAAAAAAAAAAAAAAAAAAAAAAAAACACTATAAATTTAGTATAAATACTATAAAACCCTAACACAAAAACACTGTCGGAGTTAAAATGACTCTAAAATGAACATGTCAAAACTGGACACCTGATGTACCCACACACACAAAAAAAAACCCCTAAAAAAACCAAAAAATCAGCAGAATATGACAGTTTCGGTGCAAAATTCGCCAAAAATAAAACCCCTGTTTAACCACATGTGATGACACTTAGAGGAAGAAAGCGAGCTGGAAATCACATCTAGCTTTGCTTCATAGTGCAAACATCAAAAAAAGAAACAGGCCAAAGAAAACGGAAAAAAAAGTTAAAAAAACACTATAAAACCCTAACACAAAAACACTGTCGGAGTTAAAATGACTCTAAAATGAACATGTCAAAATTGGACACCTGATGTACCCACACACACAAAAAAAAAACCCTAAAAAAACCAAAAAATCAGCCGAATATGACAGTTTCGGTGCAAAATTCGCCAAAAATAAAACCCCTGGTTAACCACATGTGATGACACTTAGAGGAAGAAAGAGAGCTGGAAATCGCATCTAGCTTTGCTTTACAACTCTCCACGACCTCCCTCCATTGTGGTCGAGGGATCCATGTAGGAGGGCATTGATTGCTCCTCGAGAAGAGAAGGATTTACCCCCAAATCGCCCCTGTTCCCCTACACATCCTTCTTGACTTGTTGGGATGCCCTCAAATTCCTCTTCAATTCTGCACTCAGCGGAATCACCTGAGAAAACCTGTGAACTCTTAACCAGAGAAAATGGTAGACAACCCATGAGTATTTCTTTTTCAGTAGAAGGTAATTTAAAATATTGAAATATTACTAAGTTAATACTAACCCTAAAAAGCTACCAGTAGAATTGAAAAACAACCACCAGTGTTATTTTCTTCAGCGCTGTGCTGAGTCTTGCTGTGCCCCCAAGTGTGATGTTGCATCACAATGTCGCATCATACCCCGGAAGGTAATCCCAGTTATTCATGTAGCTTCATCAAGTTAGTTCCATTATCTGAAGTTCTTCTGCCATGCACTTTGTTTTTCTCTCTTCTTCAGTTTCGCGCAAACCCTCTGCGCCAATGAAAATGAGCATACAAATTCTTATTCCCGAGGAATCTATCATTCCGACCTGTAACTGTAATAATGTGCATTGGCAATTCTTACTCCTGCCCCAAACTCTTCTGATGCTGTCGACGATGAGGACAATGATGTGCTCATATCTCTAAGGCCAGTTAGTCCCATCTGCCATAGAGAAACTGCTTGTAAACCCCTCTTCACTGCCTTGGTAGCCTCCTCCTGAAGTTCCCTGCATGGCAGAAGGTCAACCAGAGATGATCATACAATTTGTTGTCAGTACAATTGGCATCATGCTTCTCGTTGCAGCAAGCAAATCAAGGTTCCTAATGGAGCCGGCAGTACAGACCTGGTTGAAGCCGAGAATTTCACAGACTCCCTTTCCTTCTATTCAAAAGAAGATTTCAGACGCACCAGCTCACTCTCTGCTGTCAGCTGTTATATAAGGAGGGCTTTTTTGTAAAGAGGGGCG